AAAAAAAAAAAAAAAGTGCTCTTCAGCACTCTTTCAAGTGTGGAACTTTTCAAGTGCTGAAGAGCAAGTTTGTCTCCTTGAGGACTAAGGTGTGCTGGACACAAGCCATGGTATTTTCAATCACCTCATATGCATGTGAGCCGGACAATGAATAAGGAAGACCAAAGTAGAGTGGGTGCTTTTGAGCTGTGGTGCTGGTGAAGAATGCTAAAAGTACCATAGACAGCTGAAAGAACAAATTTGTCCTGGAAGAAATGCAGCCTGAATGCTCCTCGGAAACGAAAATGGCAAGACTTCTCACCTACTTTGGTCACGTTGTTAGAAGAAACCATTCCCTGGAGAAGGATGTCATGCTTGGTAGGGTAGAGGGTCACCGAAAGAGGGGAAGGCCCTCAATGAGATGGATCAATGCAGTGGCTGCGGCAATGGGTCCAAGTATAGCAAGGGTCATGGAGCTGGAGCAGGACCAGGCAGTGTTTCGTTATGCTGTGCATGGGGTCATGAGTCGGAGACGACTCAATGGCACCTAACAACAACAACACCACAATGTTATCCATAAATTGTTATGATCCACGCAGTCAAATGTCTTTGCATAATCAATAAAAGACAGGAAAACATTTTTCAGGTATTCTTTGTTTTCAGCTAAGACTCATCTGACATCAGCAATGATATCTCTTGTTCCACATCCTCTTTGAGTCCAGGTTAAATTTCTGGCCATTCCTTGTTGATTTACCATTTTTCAATCATCTTCAGGAAAATTTTAGTTGCATGTGATATTAATGATGTTCAATAATTTCCACATTCTATTAGATCACCTTTCTTTGTAATGGGCACAAATATGGACCTCTTCCAGTTGGTTAGCCAAGTAGCTGTCTTCTAAATTTCTAAGAACTGATGAGTGAGTGCTTCCAACATTTCATCTGTTGGTTTGAACATCTCAATTGATACTCCACCTGTTCCTAGAGCCTTGGTTTTCACCAATGTCTTCAGTGCAGCTTGGACACTTCAGTAAACCAGAGTTACTATTTACGACAGGTCAGTAGGAGGGCTCATTAAAAAGCTCTTAGATGGCATTAATGGTCACACTATCACCTTTTTGCCTTGCTTTGGATTTATTTTCCAGAAAATCACTTTGAAGCTAAACTTAAGGTCTTTAAAATGTGCACATTATTCCTTGTATCTTTAAGCACTAAAGTATAGAGAAACTTTAACCCTATGCTATCCAGCCAAAAAGTTAGTGAAAACCAGGCTTCTAGCTATAATCATAAGCTAGAAACCAGACAAGAAAAACAAATATTAAAGCACTGTTCAAAAACTGTACTTAAATACTTTAAGATTGCTATGACAAAGCAACTTACAAATTCTTACAAAGCATTTCTGAAGTTTATCTATGAAAATTATCTTCTTATCCTCTATCTGATCCCTATGAGAGATCTATCTCTAAGATGCCTCCTTTGACCTTTCATGGGATCATGTCTTGTGACTTATCCACATTGCCTTCATTCACTTTAGTCTAACACGACTTTTCTATATTTAAACTTATTTTCAGATTGTAGTACACAGATGAAAGACATGAAAGTGATTTCAAGTTTCATTTATATATTGACATCTGTTTAATTCCTTTTCAACATGTTTATGTGAGAGTATCACAGAAAAATGGAGTAATGTGAAATATGTGAATAACAAAAAAACCTTTAAACTGTTGATATATACCACATATACATACCCAATACTTTCCAAAAGTGCAATTTCTGTGGTTAAGACAAATTGGTATGTGGTCCCATACACAAAAGCAGCTTCCATGACTGCTCTGTGCTCTGCAGAAAAAATACAGGAATTGGGAGAAAGGAGGAGTTAGTTTGTTGACTAGATGGTAACTTGTATTCCGAGTATTTCTCTACACCATTTAATGTTCTATTAAACTGCTTCAAAGAGAAAAAGGTAAATCCTTTAATAAAAATCCTTTGTAGGGATCCCAATTGGGAAAGTGTATGCAGTTAAAGAAGTAATGAAAAATCTATTCTATTCAAGATAAGCGAAGAAACAAAGAGTAGAAAATTTGTTAGTTTCTTTGTAGTACTAGGAAAGAACATGCGAATCCACCATACAACTTTGTTCTATTTTATATGTGTGTGAATTCTGAGTGCCTTCCAACCTGAGGGATAATCTTCCACCACTACATCAGTTAACGTTCCATTGCTGTCTGTAGCTTTTCACTCGCCGGCTTCTTTCTTGTTTGGAAATAGATCACCAGATCCTTCTTCCTAATTTGTCTTAGTCTGGAAGCTCCACTGAAATCTATCCACCATGAGTGATCCTGCTTGTATTTGGAATACTGCTGGTATAGCTTCTAGCATCACAGTAACATGCAAGCCACCACAGTACCACAACTAACAAAAGCTCTACACTAAAAACACACAACTGGACCAGCAAGCAACATCATGATAAACGGAGAAAAGATTGAAATTGTCAAGGATTTCATTTTACTTGGAACTACAATCAATACCCATGGAAGCAGCAGTCAAGAAGCAAACAAATATTGCACTGGGCAAATCTGCTCCTAACGCAAAAACAAAAAACAACGCAACCCCTGCCATGGAGTCAGATCCAACTCATAGTGACCCCTCCTTGGGTTTCTGAGGCAGTATCACTGTGGAAGTATATTGCCCAACCTTCCTTCCAAGGAGTGGCTGGTGAATTTGAATTGCCAGCCTTCTGGTTAGCAGTCAAATGCTTTAGGCACTACGCCACCAGAGTTCCAAAAGACCTCTTTGAAGTGTTAAAAAGCAAAGATGTCACCTGGTGGACTAATGTGCACCCAACCCAAGCTACGGTATTTTCAATCACCTCATGTGCATGTGAAAAGTGGACAATGAATAAGGAAGACCAAAGAAAAATTGACACATTTGAATCATGGTGTTGGCAAAGAATATTGAATATGTCATGTACCGCCAGAATGAAGAAATCTTGTCTTGGAAGAAGTCAGACAGAATGCTTCTTAGAAGTGAAGATGGCAAGACTGTCTCATGAACTTTGGACATGTTATCAGGAGGGATCATTATGGAAGAAGGTCATTCTGCTTGGTAAAGTAAAGGGTTAGCAAAAAAAGAGGAAGAATCTCAGCAAGATGGATTGACACAGTGGCTGCAATAATGGGCTCAAATATAGCAATGATTGTGAGGATGATGCAGGACCAGGAAACATTTTGTTCTGTTGGACGCAAGTTCACTATGAATAGGACCAACTTAATGACACCGAACAACAACAATATGTGTAAGAATGTGTGTAGTTTTTGTTTGTGTTTTTTAAACAAACATTCTTATATATAATCTAAAAAGACAATTCTACAAGGCATATTAAGAAAAACAGCTATTCCCCTACTCTGTCCCATTTCCAATTCCCAAGGGACAGACACTTTCAACTCTTTTACTGTTTCTTTTAGTATTTACCTCCAACTCTCTAAATGATATGCTTGTACTCCTACTTCTTGAGTTCTTTCCTGAAACTCTCCCCCACAAACACACTTTCTATTCCCTCAACTTTCCCAATATATTTTTGTTATTAGATCAATATTCAGTATTTACGTTGTTCTACTATGTACATAAGCCATCTAGTACAGAATGACCACTTTTTCTTTTTTGCTCAACTTTGTTTTCACTGCAGTTGTAACTGTTTTTACTTTTGTTTGTTTATATTTCTTCTTAATTTATTCTTAAGTCTTCCAAAATTGTCTAAATCTCTCAATTTTTAAATATATCAGTTATTATGTCAGTTCCATTTTCTTGAAGACATTTTAGCAGAGCCTTCTGATTTGCTCCAATATTAACTGTTGCTGCTTGGGCTGCTGCATAACTGTCGTCTTGGAAAGAAATCTCCCCTTTTTTCCTGCACGATGCATTTTCCCCTTCTTACTGGATCTTTCTTATCAGCACACAAATATGCTTCTTAAAATTCTTCTCTTGACCCCACATACTATCCCAGACACTTACTCATTTATCTCCCTCTCTTTATAGCAAAACTTCTCCAATAAGTCTCTATATTCACAGTGTTCAACTGTCCTCTACTTATTCTCTCTCATACCCTTCCAATCAAGCACTTATCCCACCACTTTACAGAAGCTGCTCTGGTCAAAGTCGCCAAAGTCTTACACATTACTAAGCATGATGGCCGACTGAAACCATGTTCACTAACCTTTCAGTATCATTTGACACAACTGTTATTTTTCTCTTCCTTAAAGCCCTAACTTGACTTTGCTTTCATGGTACTCCTATGACAGAAGCTATTCCTTCTCAGTGTCCTTTACCTCAATGACCTGTAAATGCTGTAAATGCTGAAGCAGATAAAGGGCTTGGCCTTCTATTTTCCATCTAGGCTCATTCCTTTGGTGACCTCTTCTTATCTCAAAGCTTTATCACCAAAATTTATATTCATTCTTGTATCTTCACCATAAAATGCAGACTAGTAATATGCAGCTACGTTGCTGATCTCTCTACTTGGATGTCTAATGGGTATTTCACATTTATAATTTCCAAAAGTGAATTCCAGAGCTTCTCCTCCAAATTGCTTATTCACAGTCTTCCCCACCTCAGCTATTAGGAATTGCACCCTCCAAAGTAGTTTAAGTCAAAAACTCTACTGTTTTCTCCACTATTTCTTTCTCATTCCACATATGGTATGTCAGCAAATTCAGTCGGGCTTACCTTTAAAACACTGCTAAAACTCCAACAATCATTGTCACCTTCTGTTGCTAACAACCTGGTTCAAGCACCCGACCATCACCTCTTTTTTTTCTTTTTCCCCCTCCACTCCCACATTCCTAGCTCTCTATCCCTAGGCAAATGTTGTCCTTGTACAGCTTGATCTCATATGCTTAACTGTTCTAATGAGTGCCTCCCCGCCCCTATATTACTATTCATCTTATAGGTCTGTTCTATCATTTGGCTGCCAGTTGAGTCACAGGGTTTAAGTTCAGTTCCTAGTGTGAAGGATTTCTAAGGGCCATAGTCTCAGAGGTTCCATCAGTTTTCATTAGACCAAAAAACCTGTTTGTTTGTTTGTTTTACTGTGATTTGGTTGAAAATTTACAGAGCAAATTCTCTTTCCATACAACAGTTCACATACACTTTGTCTCATGACATTGACTATAATTTACCCCAATGAAACAGCTCCCCTCCCACTTCCTCCCCATAGTTACCTCTTCCCTGTGTCCATCCCTCCATGCACTACTGTCCCCTGAGCTGTCTCCCTGTGCATAAACAGCCCTTCTTTCTCCCATGATTGTTCTCTTCAAGGAGTGTATCTACCTCAGGTAAATGTTCAACTCATATGCCTGTCTTTTGTTTGGCTGGAAACCACAGGTGTGGGTTCAATTCCAGACCTGAAGGGCAGCTAGGGGCCATAGTCTCAGGGGTCCCACCAGGCTCTATCAGACCAGCAAACCTGGTTCCCCCCCCCTTTTTTTTTTTCCCAAATGATTTTGAATTTTGTTCCACATTGTTCTCCCTCTCTATCCAGGATTTCCTACATAGGTACCCCTCCTAGTGGTTGACAGCGGTAGCCAGGCACCATCTACTTCTTCTGGTCTCGTAGTCTTATAGGCTGCTGATTGCATGGTGTACCAGTCACTAGAACTAATTGTTTCCATGAATCTTTGGTTTTCTTCATTCTTCTTTGCTCTGGATGAGGAGAGATCCATTGTTGCACCTAGATGGCTGCTTGCAAGCTTTTAAGATTCCAGTTGCTACTCACAAAAGTAGGAGGTGGAACAATGTTTTGTGTACTATGTTGTGGCAATTGAGCTTGATGTGCCCTGCAACTATGGACCTGAGCCCACCAGTTCAACTACTCAGTCAAGAAGTGACTACAACTTTGTCCCTTGTCAACTCTACTTACACCTGGGAATTGTTACAGATCATATAAATACATTTACTTATAGGACCACTGTCTGCCAACCCTATACATGTTCTTGAGTACACTTCCCACTTCACAGACATACCTAATAGCTCAGCCTGTCCACCCATCTATCTACCCATCTACCTATGTTTGCCTTCACTGACAACACAGTACTGTATGTGCAAAAGGGTTCATCTTTGTTGTCTGTACCTCCCATGTACCTCTCTATGTCTTCCTCTTCCTCAATGCCACCATGTTGACCACTCACGTTTGGTACGGTGCTCTCCTCTTCACCCAAATCAATACTTATCTCTACCTATCTAACAGGTTTCCCTACCTTACCCTCCCACCTCTGGTAACCAACAAAGAAAATTTACTTCCATAGATAAACCTATCCTCCACTTTTAAAATAACAGACTGATACAATATTTGTCCTTCTGTGATTGACTTACTTCACTCAACATAATGTCCTCCAAGTTCATCCATGTTATGTGGTGTTTTGCAGATTCTATGTTATTCTTTAGTGTTGCATAGTATTCCATTGTGTGTATGCATCATAGTTTGGTTATCCATTCCTCAGCTGATGGACACCTAGGTTGCTTCCAACTTTTGGTTATTGTAAATAGTGCTGCGATGAACATGGGTGTGCATTTGTCTGTTCTTATCATGGCTCTCACTTCTTTAGGATATATACCTAGTAATGGAATGGCTGGGTCAAATAGTATTTCTAATTCCAACTTTTTAAGGAATTGCCATAATGCTTTCCACAATGGTTATACCATTTTACAGTCCCACCAGCAGTGTTTGAGAGTCCCAATCTCTCCACATGCTCACCAGCATTTGTTATTTTCTGTTTCTTTCAACTTTGCTACTAGTGCTGGGGCAAGATGGTATCTCACTGTTCTTTTGATTTGCATCTCTCTAA